ATTTATTTGAAATTAATTTATTAATTTTAACAATTTCTTAAATCAGTGAAAATGGAGATTGGCCTTTCTAATACTAAGGTCCAGATTTACCTAGGTGTTTTTTATTGTCATTATTTACCTAGTGTGACAAATATTACTTCTTATTAGAGGAATGAAGTAAATAATGGTGATTTTTCATGTTAGTAGTAAAAAAACTTAATTTATAATAATGATGGATAAGCAAAAAAATTCGTGGTAGCAAAAAATAAAACATCTTAGAGTAAACATATTAAGGGTGAAAAGATTATAAAGGTTAAACCCCAATTTAATGGAGTCTTCTTTCTCTTCCATCAAATTTAAAAGAGTTATAAAATGATCAGTAGTAATGCAGATCTTTAAAGAATTAAGAAACAACAGAGGCCAGTCAGAGCGAGCGAATACAATTAAGAGAGATAGCGCTAGACGCCATTTTAAAAGGACATAGTAGAGCGTCTGCTGAAAATTCTGATGCAGTTACGATTTTGATTTTGTTTGTTTAGTTCTCGACTTATTTTTATTATTTAAATGGAAAAGTTTGGTAGTAGACGAAGTGAATTGTGATGATTTTTTAAAAATGTAGTACGCCTGTAGTTACAATAAAGTAAACCGATATTAACGTAAAACCGCTTGTAATGTCTTTTCATTCATTTGACGACAAGGATGATATTTCTAACGAGAGCGGTGGGCGATGCTTCTGTATGCTGAAAAAAATATCTGGCTAAAATGGATATCCCAAAATTTCGGTTTTTCTTGTTAGGTCATTAAACAGACATACAAATTGAAAAATTTAACATTAATTCAAAAATGTTTTAAACTTCATAGTAAGATAAGGTACCGAATGAATCGAAACTCGATACAGGGTAGGCAACATTGTCAAAAATGCCAAAAAACGAAATTAATGAATTGTGGACCTAGCATTTAAACCTGAATTATTATTATTATTATATTTACCTACCTTTTATTCCATGTGTCTGTGAAAGAAAGAAGGATGGCATTGGATAAATCATTTGCCACATAATAATATAGTCAATAATAATTATTATAAACTTTGCTAGACACTACTTTTAAACCGTAATCATAGTAGTTTCTTGTCGTTTCTTTGACAATGTGTAAAAATTAATCACAATAATAAGTATACAAATAAATATTCAAATAAGCAAATATTAATTCATATTGTTAATGGTTTTATTAATTAATGAATAGGTGTTTTTTGTGCGATGTTAAGGGGAAGAAAGTATTTCCCTTTAACGATGTACTCAAGAAAGTTTGAATATGTTAATTTCTGGAAAACTTCCGAATATAACCATATAACTATTTTCATTTGTATTTTTTAACTATTTTGTTCAGGATAGTGACTGGCACAGGTGCCATTTGGTAAAGTACAATGTTTTTACATGTCTTCGGGGCATATTTCATTTCGTTATCAGATGACGGCCAAAATTTGCAGTGGGTTCTTGGACTATTATATCGTCAGCTTAAAAGCAAAACACCTAAGTCAGGATTTGATCAAAAATCCATTAGTCTCTTAATTGTATTTTTCCTGAATAAAACATTGGACCTAATGAATATGAAAATAACTTAAAAATGATATGATAATAGTGATTATATGGGAAAATGTAGCAGGATTCAGGTAGAACATTAAAAAATAAGATGACAAGTTCCCATAGTTTTTTTCCTAGCGGCCCTCCCTCCAAAAGGACGCCACTAGAAATCAATTTTTCTTGAATAACTTTCAAACTACGTAATATAATTTAATGAAAATTTAATATGAAAAACAGTAGTGAGAACCTCTTAAAATACTGCCCTTAAAACATAATTAGTTTGTTTAGTTTACCAGGGACATTTTAATGCTTACATTTTTAACACCCTGGAGGATAAGGAATTAAAAAAAAATAAATTTCGATAACTTGAACATTAAACTAAAGAAAAGGTACTCTTCTTCATTGTCCCAGAATTAACTAATTTCAAATTGGGCCCGACGAATAGAGGACTGCTGCACTCGTCACAACAACCCAGCATTGTTCCTTATCATATCACAATGAAATGTGATTCTCTGAAAAGTTCCTCCCTAGTATCAACTGGAGAGGAATACACCAAGGTATTGAGATGACCCCACAGGTAAAAACCCATTAGCGTTAGGTCGGAAGACCGTGGAGGCCAGGCAAATTGGACCTCCTCTGCTCTGCCTATCCAACGGTTTCGATAAACGTTATTCAGGTGGTCCCGTACAGCGACGCTAAAGTGAGGTGGGGCTCCATCATGCATAAAATACATGCTTCGGCGGGTTTCAAGTGGCAAATGCTCTATTGAATCCAGAAAAGCGTTCTGAAGGGACTGTAAATAAAGTTCACCATTCATTCGTGGCGGCAATACGCATGATCCAAATTTTTCGAGGAAAATCTTCAGGAAATAGTTGCACTTTTTGCAGATGATAAGGATATAACAACTGTTCTTTAAGTATTCCAGCAATTGTCGCTTTTGACACATGAAGCTACGCGGCTAATCTTCGAGTACTTATTAAAGGAGTATCAGCTACAGTATCCAACATATTTTCCTCCAATTGCACCGTACGTACTGTTCTTGTCACACCAACATCAGTACTTGTTTTCCCAAAACTTCCCAAAAATTATTAAAGTCAATAATGTTACCTTATTAACTGGGAATCGCCCACCAGTCTCTCTTAGACGTTGGTCAAGTCGCTGAAATGTTTTCTCATTTGGAATATTGCAATTAGGATATCTTTCTTCATATAACCTTCTTTCTTCATAAGCATTGCAAGATGCAAGACAGTACATAAGATGCATATCTGCATACTCACTAAATGTGTATCCCATTATCGAATTAAATTTACCAAGATATTCAAAATTCAATAAATTAATATCGGAGTACTAAAAGATCAACGTGTCAACAAGATTTAAAATGCACATGTCAATGCAATTATTCATTTATTTATTTCGTAGGTACCATAGTAACGTTTGTAAAAACAGTTCGTTTTTTAATACTGATAACAGTTCTATTTCAATGATTTTCCTATCACACTTTGCTGCAGACAAAAAAAAATTGGAAATCATGGTTTCTTTTTAATGAAAATAAAACATTTATTATTTTATTTTTTTTTTTTTTCTAGAAAACGGTTCATTTTATCGACAATGAAAAAGAGTACCTTTTCTTTAGCTTAATGTTCAAGGTATCAAAATTTATTTTTTTTAACTCCTTATCATACAGGGTGTTAAAAATGTAAGCATTAAAATGTACAACCTAGTCCGCCCCTGGTAAACTAAACAAGCTAATTATGTTTTTAGGGCAGTATTTTAAGAGGTTCTTACTACTGTTTATCATATTAAATTTTTATTAAATTATATTACGTAGTTTGAGAGTTATTCAAGAAAAATTGATTTCCAGTGGCGTCCTTTTGGATGCCATATCTCCGTAGGGAGGGCCGCTAGGAAAAAAAATTATGGGAACTTGTCATCTTATTTTTTATTGTTTTATCTGAATCCGAGAGACCTCACACCTTGTAGAGCCGAAGAAATCCAGTCAAATGATGTAAATAAGTCAAAAATAAAAAAATCTGACTTTGTTTTGCTTGTAAACCGACGAAATATTGAAATGAAAATGATATATCAAATTTGCAGCTATGTTACATTTTTTACTGTCCAGCAATCCATTAATTTCGTTTTTTGTCATCTTTGACAATGGTACTGAACCTGTATCGAGTTGCAAAATCGGCTAATTTCGATTCATCCGGTACGTTATCTTACCACAAAGTTTAAAAAATGTTAAAATTATTGTTACATTTTTTATCTGCTTACTGGCCTATGTGGAGAGTTTGATTGAATTTTGATGTTTACAAATTCGCAATCTTGATAATCTTTGTTTTTAAACATTGTAGACCCAATCTCTCCAGAAGTATAGAAAAATAAATTAACCACACTTCAATTCAAAAATTGTATACAAGGTTGCCATAATAAACCGTATCTCTGACAATATTCCTTTTATCGTACTAATTTTGACAATCAAATGTGTATGGAAATCGAAGATTTGACAACTATAACTACTTGTATACACATGTATGTTCAATTATGGTTATTTTTTATTAGTTATCTTTTATACTTCAATAAATGCCTAAACTATAATGATAGTACAAATACCCAAAACAATAATAACTCGTATTTACTTAAAAATTGATTGTTAATGTCATTACTCCTTTTTTATCAGTTTATTCTTTATAACATTCAGAATAGATATATAAAATAATTTGAAGAATTATAATCAATTTGTTTAATTCGACAGGGTCTACAACTTCCAAATACTAAATAGCAATTAATCGGTATAAGTGATTTTAAATTGACTGCCAATTAAATCGAACAAGATATGAAATGATATAATGGGCGTACTCTAAGAATTTATTCAATACAAGACAAAACGGAGAAAGAGAATGTCAAAGAACACCTGTTAGGCATGTATAAGTAAAGATTTCACTTGGAGATTATTTTAAAAAATAAACATGGAATGCTAGAAACCACAATTATGTTATTGATCGTGACTGTATAATTCTAGTTTTACATAGAACATTTATTTTAAGTGATCGCACTAATTTTATTACTATATTATCCTTTAAATCATAAATAGCGAACATTTACTTACGTCACTGTGCTTTTTTAATAGAGAAATTATTTTCAAAATTATCAATTATATAATTTCTCTGATGACTTCAAATCTACATATTCGACTGTCGTATCTATGTGCTTCGGTAGTCCAATTGGTAGAGGAGCATGGGACTCAACTCGGTGGTTTCAGGTTCAATTCCTGACCATAAGCTCTTATAATTTTTTTAGAGATGGGGAGATACATATTTTAATTTCGTAGGCGGAATTGGTGATAATAATTGCATATATTTCAGTTTTCGGTTCTAAATCGATTTTCTTACCTTTTTTTCTCACATAATTGAACAGTTTTACAACTTTTTCTTATTGTTTCAGAAATAGCAAAAGTACGGGCTAGTTTATTTCAAATAAATGGAGTCAAAAAAGAACCACTAGTATTACCAGAACCTGATGGACCAGTTACGACACTTACAGAAAAAGTTTATGTACCAGTAAAAGAACATCCAGATGTAAGTATATTCTTGATTTCATAATTATGTACAGTGTTCAACAATATCCGTATCCAAGGGGGTGGGTATCTCAGTGTTTAGAGTTTGTACTTTCGGATCCAAGGATCCCGGGTTCGAATCCCGCCGTTGATGGGATATTTATTTAGTTTCATTAATTAAAAAATTAATTCTAATGCATAGGCAGGATTCCTCACTCGACCTTTGTTGCGTTCTAATTAACTGAGCTGCTCCTAAATTGGCGATGGGAAACAGTAACAAATCCTACACAGAACACGAGACCTTGGTAGTTGATGCCGATGACACCAAATTAAAATAAAATATACAGGGTCTCCCATTAGGGCGTAATTGTTCAATAGTTCAATTTGTGTTATAGACATTTTAAAAATATTTTTGGACTTACAGGGTGTTGAGTTTTTGCCTGGCAAATAAAAATGTATATTTTTAAATAGAACACCCTGTATTTTATTTCAGTAATAAATTCAAAAACTGAGTGGTATTTAATTAAAAATTGAATACGCGAATAGGCGTGTTGATAAAATGCAAAACAAATCAATGACCTATAAATATCCCCAAATGAGAGCTATATTTGATGAACTGAGACTTGAGTTGTTATGTTATTAGATTATGTGGGATTCGGATATGGTTGAAGACTCCGTTTATTCCCAAATAACGCTTATTTATTAAATTAGTTTTAAGTATCCATGAAAATTAGCTCAGAGTTCTCGATTTGTATTCGCTTAATTAATTCAATTATTAATTGACAACATCTGCATATAATTATTATTGCTAATTCCTAGTAGTTTGTATCATGTTTTCGATTATTGCTTGGATAATATTTTCCTATTTTATACAGGGTGTTAGTATATTCGACCGACAACGCTTTACCACAAAGAGTATTCGTTAATTGATGAATTTTGATATGGAAAATAAACCCTTAAAGAGCTTAGTTACCGAAATACAGGGTTTTAAACCAAAATTTAAAATTTGCTATAAATCAAAAATGTCTTTAAATATTTTTTTCAAATTTGATCTACCAAGATTTTATTAAGTACACGAAGAACTATTCAAAATTTGAAACGCACTTACTAGATTAGAATTTAGAAATATTGAGTCTTTACGAATTATCTAGTACATGCAGACTTTTGTTTAGAAGCTAATTTTTGAAACACCGTTCATTTTAGCTCCATAAGAGATTCTTCCTTTTTAACTATAAATGAATTAAAAAAAGAATAATAAAATAAAAAAATATTTGTTCAAGTGGCGTAAAAAATAGTGGAAAAAATGGCCACTAACCTTAATAACGCGGCACTATTCATTTTTTCAAAAGTTAGTTTTTGTAAAAATATTACTTTCTTAAAGAGCATATTGGTCACCAAGTTAGAAAAAAAAAGATTTAAAGGCATTTTTGATTTAAGGCAAATTTTCAATTATGATTTTAAACTTTCAACGCCCCTTATCTTGGTAACTAAGCCCTTTAAGGGTCCATTTTTCTATATCAAATATCAAAAACACCCTATATATTGAATTAATATTAATCCAACATTTGCATATGAAATGGAGACATTAAAAGTGTTTTTGACTGATGTTATCTTGACTTATTTATTTGTATTTACAAGATTCCGGGTGTAACTCGTTATGTTTTGTTGTATTGTTGCAGCACAAAACTGATATCTGGATAGCGATCATAATTTATTTTACATAATGAAAAAAGTGTTTTATACGCTATATTAGTGTGATGTAATCTGTGTTCTACTGACAGTCGGTTTTTAATAAAACAAACCGTGAATTTAACATATACGGTTTGAAAGTTATTTTAGGTTATTAAGATATAATAACTAATTTAAAAATAATTTATAACTTTTACTAATCCATCGCATAGCAATCTAGTTTTAATACTTGTAATTAAATTGATTTTATATAGTTTTATTAAAATGTAAGGTTTATTTGTAAATAACAAGAATAACTCACTTTAATGTATATTTAATCTCAATAACTAAAAAGTGTACTGGCAAATAGTTTGACAGAAGTGTCACTTATTTAAAATTTAAAAAAATAATAGTAGCCAGGTGACCAAAATATGAACTGTGCTTGGTCAATTTCATTTTATGCATTGTTCTTACTAAGTAGAATGATTATAAAATATATTCTTTCAGTTGAACGCAATGGCATACTTTTTCGTTTTGTTGTGCGTAAAATAGCTCATATTTCTGTGAGTGTAGAAAAAAGTATGTAACCGAATTATTTTTAATGTTTTTTAATTGATTTCTTCTTTAACCGTTACCATGTTGAGGTTTTACTGGAAATTTGCATGGAAATTGCCATTAAGTTTGATTTTTTAAATAGATCACACAGTATATTTTTTTTAATCTAAGGTTCAATTTACATATATCTATGACAGTCTGGCAAAATTTTCATTATTTCCTATAATTTTTTTTTATTGGAAGAAGTGTCAATTTGAAATTACGAGGATGGGATGAAAAGTTTCCGGCCTAACATAGAACGCAACACAATAGTGACTAAATAAGAATTTATTTTTCTACATAGTCTCCTTGTAGGGTAATACATTTGACCCAATGATATTCAAGCGATTTAATACCGTCACTGTAGTCTGATTTATCCAACTCGTCAAAATAGGCGTTTGTGGCTGCAATTACTTCTAAATCCGTGGAAATTTTTTTGCCAGCAAGAAATTTTTTTAGGTTTGGAAACAAAAGTCTGACGGGGCTAGATCTGGCGAATACGGAGGATGGTTTAACAGTTCAAAGCCTAGCTGATGAATTTTAGCCATTACAAGAACGCAAGGTGCATTGTCCTGATGAAACAGAATTTTCTTTTTTGCCAAACCAGGGCGTTTTTCGCTTATATTCTGCTTAAACTGGTCCAGTAAGTCGCTGTAGTACTCGGAATTTATTGTTCTTCCCTTTTCGAGATAATCTATTAGGAGTATCCCTTTAGCATCCCAAAAGACCGTTGCCATGACCTTTCCAGCAGACGGTACTGCCTTTGTCTTCTTTGGAACTGGTTCGTCCTTTGCCGTCCACTGTTTGGACTGTTGTTTAGTTTCAGGGGTATAATGATAAACCCATGTTTCATCAACCGTAATAAATCTACGCAAAAAGTGTCCCCTGGATCACGTCTAAACAGTGCCAAATTCTCCTCTGAAATGGTTAGCCGCGTGAGCTTCTGATCTGACGTGAGCAAACACGGCACCCATCGGGCGGATAGCTTTCTCATACCTAAAACTTCACACAACAAAATATAGTGAACTCGCTCTTTTGATATGCCCACAGCCTCAGCTACCTCTTCCAATTTTAATCTGCGAATTAGTTTGTGAACGGTTTGCACCATTTCTTCAGAAGTTGCCGTTTTTGGCCTGCCAGAACGCGGAGCATCATCAGTGCTAGTACGACCACGTTTAAAGTCCGCTACCCAGGTTTTAATTGTGGTAAATGAAGGAGCAGATTCCCCTAGTGTAGCATCTAGTTCAGCTTTTATTTCCGTCGGCGATAATCCTTTGATATGGAAATATTTTATCACCGCTCTTATCTCGTTTTTTTCCATTTTTTAAAAGTGGCACACTTTATAAGCTTTTAAAATACCCAGGACACAAACTACTTGACGCACTAACTTTAAACTTCGAGCGTATACTGACGACAAGCAAGGCTACACAGACATGTTGGAACAGGAAAGCAAATCGGGCCTACTATAGGTTAGGCCGGAAACTTTTCATCCCATCCTCGTATGTCTGGTAGGTTCGTCTCAAATGTGATCCAAATCGCTTCATTAATAAAAGACATATTAACATGGTCGTCTCATTTTCACTTGGTATACTTTGCCGCTTTTAATACATAAATGTATTTTAATAACCCCCTGTATTAATAAATGACAAATAATATTGTTGAAAATAGACGATAAGAATAGAGGCTATCGTATAAATAGAGCTGTGTCTTTGAAATTAGCTCCATAATCAATAATCATTATTGCTATTTAAAAAAAAAAAGAGCCGCTAAATTTTTGTTTTTTATAGTGTTCGTTTAGTATTAGCATTTACATAAATGTTCCATTCTCGGTAAACTAATGGCGTCTTAATTTATTTACATATGCCCAGTAACACACATAAATATGCATTAGTTTTGTTCAAATGACCAGTACTTATCCAGTGTACACTGACCCGCAACATGTAGCATAGTAGCGAACAAATGTAGTACGCGGTCTCAAGAATCTAGCTCTTTAAATTTTAAACAACGGCGCCTTTGTACGCGGCCCACTCTCCCTAATTTCCTATAATTATTAATAATGCTCGTTCTTTTTTTATTTCAGTTCAACTTCGTAGGTAGGATCTTAGGACCACGAGGCATGACGGCCAAGCAACTAGAACAAGAAACTGGCTGCAAAATAATGGTCAGAGGGAAGGGCTCGATGAGGGACAAAAAGAAGGTGTGTACCTACATATTGTTTTGTTTCATTTTATTTGGAGACGTTTACGTCTAAACGGCGATTCTATTGTTATATCTGTGTCCGTAATATTTATGGTGTGGCTCAAATGAATAGGATATTTTGAAAGAAGGATATTTTAACTTGGCTTATAGTCCAAGAGCTGGAACCGCAAAACTGCTTTGATCTTTGATATGGATAAACTGGTTATAAACTCATTACTAAAGGGGATTACAAATCCGAACTCTCCGACACTTTTATTAGTGCAGGATTTAGGTAAGAATGGTGAAAGTTGCCATTTTCTAATTAATCAAATTTGTATCAAAGATAAAAGCAGTTTTTCAGCTCCAGCTCTCTGGTGAGATTAACGATCCGAGTAAACTCGCAGATGTAGTTGCAAACGATCTGAGATCCAATGGACCAAATTATTTGTATAATTATTTGCGAAATAATTTTATACTCTCCAATGGTCATTTAGGACTCGGATAGTTATTTAGTTATATACATTTAGAGGCCAGGGCGTGTACGCTTGAAAACGAGATAAATTGAAACTCCTGGGATTATATCCACTTTATATACGTAATCAAGATATAGTAAGGTAAACAGATCAGGTCATATTTTAAACAAAAGTTACCTTTATAGCCAGAAATATGGCCTATCTAATCAAAACGTATATAACATAAATTTTCTTCTCCAATCATAGATAACAGAAATATACCTTGAGAGGTTGTTTGGTGACAGAAACAATATTATTAATTTTACTATTTTTATAACTGCATTTAATTTTATTTCACAAAGTAATGTACTGTTATGCCGCGGCCGAAGTCAGTAAGGAACTGTTGGTTAGTTTCTTCCCGGTCTACCTGCAGTGCCCTCGAAACTAGCCAGTCTTACCCGGGAAAACCCCCGTTGGGTTCTGCCAGTATTATAATAAATTATGAAATTTGAATTGCTATTTGATTGGGACTTAAATAATAAAACTTTACAAGCACCTATCATTTCAGAAATCCCTAGGTAAACTGACTAGTTTGAATATAACCTATAACCGCCGCATCACCCCTGCTAGTGATCAAGGGTCACGAAAGTCCAACTTGTAGGTGGTCTGGAAATATGTTTCTCTCCGTGCCGTTTCACCTCTCTTGGTTGAAGATTGTTGAAGACTTGTTTTAAAAACTTTATATATATATATTCATTGTTATCCTTTTTGGAGATTTTTGGAGATAGTAGCTCTCCTGGTAGCCGTACTGGTTCTCCATATAAAAGTTCTGCGGATGTTGCTTTTAAATCTTTCTTCCAAGATGATCTAATTCCAAGAAGTATGATCGGTAAGGTTTCAGTCCATCGTTCGTTTGAGTGATATTTAAATGCTGCTTTCAATTGTCTATGGAATCTCTCTACCGTGCCATTTGATGCAGGATGATAGGATGTTGTCCGTAGGTGCGTCGATCCAATTAAGTAGTTCAAATCTTTGAATAAATTAGATTCGAACTGACGTTCTTGATCCGTTGTTATACGAAGTGGAACACCATATCTCGCTATCCAGCCGCTTAAGAGTGTTGATGCAATAGTTTTTGCTTCTATGTCTCTTATCGGAAATGCTTCTGGCTATCTGGTAAAACGGTCCACACATCTTAGTAGATATTTGTACCCATTCGATATTGGGAGCGGTACAACTATATCGATATGGATATGTTCAAATCTGCTTGATACCAGTGAAAATGAACCTGTAGGTGCTGACATGTGACTTGTCACTTTCGATCGTTAACAATCTAAGCAACTACGACAATCATTTTTCATCCTAGGAAATCCCTAGGTAAGCTGACTAGTTTGAATATAACCTACATGATGATGTTTTCTTGACCGCCACATACCTTAAAGTAGAAAAACGACTTTCTATAAAGTAGCCCAAAATACAATCCTCTTTTCAGAATGGATTAAAGTTTAAAATGTGTTTTTCTGTTTATCCGCTTTTGAGTTATCGTGGATACAGATACACAGACAGACATCATCGCGAATATGGTTAAAACGAATTCAGGGGACCACAAAAGGTAAATATCTGTCGAAAACTCAAAGTCCAAAAATATAAGTACTAATTTTTATATTTTCCTTACGGGTTACTGGGAAGTAAAAAATTAAAACAATTGCATTAATTATTGGGGCAGTAGAATAGTTTAAAAACTGGCTGTATCTCCCAAACAGAAGATTTAAATTAGGAGCAAATAAAAAAATTCAAATAGAGTTTCCAGAAATCCAGTAGCGGTCCACGATTAACTCTGTAATTTTATAAAATAAACTATGAATAGGTCAAAAGGGTTGCAACTCCATGTAGAAACTTATACAGTTTGAAAATATTTTATTCTTCTCTTCAATTTTACCTAAATATTGGCCACTGATTAGTGGTATCTCGTGTACATTGAAAAAAAAAATAATCCGTTTGGAAGTAATATTAAGAAATCCGTTACTCATTTTTAACTTTAAAACTGGCCCTTTGAAAATCTCAGTTGTGCAGGCCTGCTATAAATAACTCTTTTTAGATGATTTATTTTATATAGGTAGTATTTTTGAATTATTTTTGATAGATTTGTCATTCGAAAATGTTCTTTTAATCTCTTAACTTGGAAAATAGAAAGCAACTTTTCGTTATTTTAACTCCGAATAGATACCAGAGTACCAGATCATTTTATCTATCTGGAATTCTGTGATTTTGCAACTGATTTATTCCAAGTATGATCGTAAAATATTCATGGTACTTTATAGTCAGAAAAAAATCTGATAGTAAGCTTGTTTTCTTTTCAACTACTGCTTTGCATATTTTAATGTGCACTTAAATTCCTTATTAACATAAAGTACGGCTTCTATCGACTTTAATGAACATTCCTTCAATTTAATTAAACAGTTTATACGAATAATTTTAAATCTCTCTTGCAATTAATCAATAATACAAAAGTTTTCTTCCAAGTGAAGATTCTTCAACTTGTCTTAGCAATTTCATAGTTTCGTATCTAAAGAACAAATCTTCCATTATTTTCATTAAATCTTTTTTGAGAGTACTCATTACTTTGTAAACATCCAATATTGTTATACAGTTACCTTATAAGCATGATCAACAAAATTGATTTATTGAAACAAAAAACAAACGTAATTAAATGTAGCGTGTTAATTAAATGGAAAGTCAAGTTGCTTCATTTTCCACAGAAATTCAAGAGTTTTATCTGGAACAAAAAATAAATATTAATAAACTTATAAAACAAATAAAGGGCACAGGAAGAAAAAGCGACTAAGTCACATTTTTGTCAAAATTGAACCAACACAAAAAATCACCACAAAAATTTAAAATAAGCTCACAATCATCAGCAAGATCAAGTAAACAAATTGAAAATTAAAAACACAGTTGAACAAGACCAAGTTGACAATACAATAAACAGTTATTTACGAAATACTTACTATTTATTCATCCAGGATCCAGGACACTCCCAAATACAAACAATTAAACAATAATTATTGACAATATATTAATCACAAACAAATACTGGTTGCTGGTAATGGATGCCACTGACCATTGACATTGACCAATGGCAAATGACACCACTCTTTCCACCATCAATTGTAAGTTTCTGTAAATTGTTTGTACAGCGCCACGAGTGCTAATTCTTTGAAACTAAAACATAGTTTCAGTTCGGGCTATACCAGTTACCGATACCTGCAGGGTTATTCTACTAAATTTATAGCCCGGCTAAAAGTTTATAGCCCGGCTAAAAGTTTATAGCCCGGCTACAAGTTGGATTTTGAAGTTAGGAACATATAAAGTTCAAGCCAAAATCCAACTTGTAGCCGGGCTATAAATTTAGTAGAATAAACCTGCTGGAGTGCAACCTACGATGATAGCAGTATATAAATGAGATGTCACGTGACAGACACACTCGTGTCCGTTTGACCTTGACATCCTAACCGTTTGTCTGCAGAACGAGATCAGCCGATATACCCAAATAGCCGAAATTTTTAAATAAATAAAATATGTTATTTTTTTTTCACCCATGCCACAGTGTTATTAAATTTAAACATTTCTGTTATGCCATATCTGTTAAGAAATTATACAACCAAATCAAATTGAGAAACTTGCATTCTTCTTCGTTGAAATGCTGTTTTATTGTATTATTTTAAGAGCCCGTGTCCTTGTTTGGTTTTTACACGTACTTGTTTGGTTTTTACACGTACTTATAAATAGTCGACAAATATTTTTCTAAGAGCTTTAATTGTAGTTGGTAGCAGATCTCAACAATCCATCTTTTGTTTTTATGACTGAAGTATTTGTATAATAATTAAATGGGTAGGTAGGTACTATATTTGTTTAAATGTAAAATGCATTTGGTTTTGACGGCATAAAGTATACATTATATTTCGCTGCGTCTTTTCTAAATACTTGAACACTCGGTGTATCAATACAAAGAATTACTGCATCGAGTGTTTTTAAGTATTTGTAAAAGACTACGTTCATATAATATGGAACAATCTTCCTTACAAGCGAGTCATTATTTCGAATACACCTTCACACGCTGTGAAACAGAAAGATGGGGGTTTCTATTATTTAAAATTTTTTTAACTGTTTGTATACGTTCCCATATTTTTATAAATATATTGACTGCACCAGAAGATGGAAATAGTAGTTTGTGCAAGAAGAGTGGATATGGACAATCCACTCGAGTTGTACAGTATATTTTTTCTACGACCCACTTACAAAAATCTACAAATTTTAAAAATATTCTAGTTTATTAAGACAAAATAACTAAATTTAATTATTATTAATTTTACTAATATATAAAATAAATATGAAAAAAAAATTAGATTCGAACCCGAGCTATTCTCGTGGAAGGCAGATGCTCTGTCCACAGCTCCACCGCCACTTTTAATTTTAATACTCGTAATTAAATTAGTTTAATATAGTTTGAATAAAATTTAATTTTTTTTTTAAACTAAAAATCAAAATGCTATAATTTATCGATTCT